GTAGTAGTAGTAGTAGTAGTAGTAGTAGTAGTAGTAGTAGTAGTAGTAGTAGTAGTAGTAGTAGTAGTAGTCGTAGTAGTCGTAGTCGTAGTCGTAGTCGTAGTCGTAGTCGTAGTCGTAGTCGTAGTCGTAGTCGTAGTCGTAGTCGTAGTCGTAGTCGTAGTCGTAGTCGTAGTCGTAGTCGTAGTCGTAGTAGTCGTAGTAGTAGTAGTAGTAGTAGTAGTAGTAGTAGTAGTAGTAGTAGTAGTAGTAGTAGTAGTAGTAGTAGTAGTAGTAGTAGTAGTAGTAGTAGTAGTAGTAGTAGTAGTAGTAGTAGTAGTAGTAGTCGTAGTATTGGTAATCATTATTATAATAATACTAAACATATAAATAATAATATGATTATGATTATTATTATGAATATTCTTCTTCTTATTATTATTATTATTCGGCGTTTCGACATGGGGCGGAAGTGAGGGGGTCTGGCTCCAGCCCTCCGCTTAGAGCGACTGCTTGCAGCAGTGCCCCCTGTGGGGGGAAGACCCCGCCCGCTCGAAACAGGCGCCAACAAACACAGCCCCAAGATCTACTCCATGAGAGGGGGCGAGGGGGGGTGCGAGGGCCCGCGCCGATCGGCAAAACGATGAATAAAATAACGATCACCCAAGAGCCCCCCAAGAGGCCCTGGGGGCCCCAGGACGCCGCCAAGGAGCCCCACGAGACCCCCAAGAGGTCCCCAAGAGGCCCCCGGGAGGCCCTAAAGAGGGCTCCAGGGCCGGCGGAATGAGCGAAGCGATGAGAAAAAAATGAGGGGGGGAGGGGGGGGGGTCGAGGGCCAACGCCGATCGGCAAAATAACAATAAAAAAAACGAGAGGGCACGCGAGAGGGCACGCGAGAGGGCCCGCGAGAGGGTGGAGGGTGCGAGTCGCCCGCGCCGATCGGCAAAACGATGAATCAATAAAACGATCACGTGTGGGCTGACTGTAATCCGAGATGGCCCTCAAGGGCCTCGGAAGGCCGCCGGTGGGCCTCCCACAAGGGCCGCCGGCAGGGGCCGCAAGGCTGGGCCTCCGGGTGCCCCACGCCCGCGGCTCGCGACTGCGCGCGCGAGAGGGCCAGAAGGAGGAGGAGGAGGAGGGGGAGGAGGAGGAGGAGGAGGAGGAGGAGGAGGGGACGAGGAGGAGGAGGAGGAGGAGGAGGAGAGGGAGGAGGAGGAGTGTAGAGGAGGAGGGGAGGAGGCGGAGGAGATGAGAGGAGAGGAAATTGAAGGAGGAGGAAAAGGAGGAGGAGAGGAGGAGGAGGATGGAGGGGAGGAGAGGAGGAGAAGAGGAGGAGGAGGAGGGAGGGAGTACGAGGAGGAGGACGAGGAGGAGGAGAGGAGGACGAGGAGGAGGGAAAGGAGAGGAGGAGGAGGAGGAAGAGGATGGGGAGGGGGAGGGGAGGAGGAGGATAGGAGGAGGAGGAGGGGAGAGGAGGAGGGGAGGAGAGGAGAGGAGGACGAGGAGGAGGAGGCGGAGGAGGAGGAGGAGGACAGCGGCGTTGGCGACGCCGAGCGGGGATGCCCTTCGCCAAGCTGGAGGCCGTGCCTCGGGGCGCCCCCCAAGCTCCCTTCTGGCCCAACTGCCGCCTCCCCTCGACGCGCGCTTCGATGATCCTCAGGCCAGTGAGCGTTTTGTTTTTGTTCGTGTGTTGTTGTTGCTGTGTTGTTTTTGCTGTTGCTGTTGCTGTTGCTGTTGCTGTTGCTGTTGTTGTTGTTGTTGTTGCTGTTGCTGTTGCTGTTGTTGTTGTTGTTGTTGTTGTTGTTGTTGTTGTTGTTGTTGTTGTTGTTGTTGTTATTGTTGTTGTTACTCGGCGTTTCGACATTGGGCGGAAGGGGGCGGGAAGGGGGGGGGGGGTCTGGCCCTGGACCTCTGCTTGATGCGACTGCTTGGAACCGTGCGTCCGGTGGGGGGAGACTCCACCTGCTCGAAACAGGCGCCAGACACGGCCAAGATCTACTCCACGGGGGGGGGGAGGAGGAGGGGGGGGGGTCGAGGGCCAACGCCGATCGGCAAAATAATGGAACAACAGCGATCATATCCTCAGACCGTGCGTCCGCGCTGCATTCGGACTTGATTGGAGAGGGCACGCGAGGGACACGAGGGCACCCTCGATTTGGCATGGTCAACCTGCTAACCCAGCTCGACTGCAACCTGTGCTTGCTTGTCCCCCTACAGGCGGATTTTGGACGAAAACTCAAAAATACGCAAAACAATACCCCAAAGGAATGAACAAATGCTCAAGAAATCAGTCGTCCCCAGACTAGTTAGTGGACTATTTCTGGATACTCCTCCTGTAGAGGGACACGCCGACTTGCAGGGGAACAGAAAAAGGCATAGATATCAAAACTCGGAGGTCCGCGCGGATTTCTCAAGTCAGCGCTGGACCCCCCTGGCAGCGCCTCTGGCGCCGCCCCTGGCGGGCGCCCCTGGCGCGCTCCGCGCGCCAGGGAGGGGGTTCCAGCGCCGATCCGAGAAATCCGCGCGGATCTCCGAGTGGTCATGTTTATGCCATGCCTCGTTCCCCTAGTTTCACACCAAAGCCCTTCGTTGAGCGCCCGAGTTTTCCGGGGTAACTCGGGTCCGGGGTAACGCGGGTTTGGATTCCCGAAAAACGAAGCCGAGTTAGCCCTGACCCGAGTTACCCCTGATGATTTGGGGCTCTGGACGCCCGAGTTATCCGGGGTAACTCGGGCCCGGGGTATCTCGGGTTCGGAATCCCGAAAAGCGAACCCGAGCTAGCCCTGACCCGAGTTACCCCTGATGATTCGGGGCTCTGACTTCGGCACGGCGCAGGCGGTGTGAGCGCAGGCCGTGGCACGGGCCGCGCGCTGCCCGCGGAGCGGAGCGGGGCGAGCACGCACACTGGGCTCGCGCACGCCCCAGGCAGCGGGCGCCGGAGCGGGAGCGCGTCCACGATGTGCTCCAGATCGCCCCCCGGATATACCTCGATCTGTCTGGCCCTACCTCTGAGTCTCGTTTACAGTTGGGGCGTTGACCCAAGGAACCCTAAATAAGGAACGAGGCCCCTTTTTCCCATAAGTTAAACTCAGATTTTCCATGGAAAACCTCAGTAAAACCCAGGGAACACTGTAAAACAACTAAGGAACACGGAGCCCCTCCCAAACGAAAAGGGTTCCTTCTTCAGCGCCCCGACTGTAACCGATCCCCATCCCCAGCGGCGTGGCCTGGGCCCCACTGGCCGATTTGCTCCCCTGGATGGGGACATGGGTCGCTCCCTTCGGGCTTCGAGGGGTGTATTCCCATCTGGGGTGGTAATTTGGTGGGGGTCTCGAAGGGGATGGAGCTCTGGCCATCGCTCGGACGTCCATTCCCTGTTTTTTTTTTTTTGATTTCGTGCGTGGTTGTTTCGCGACCCGACCCGCGAGGCCTTCAGCAGAGGCGCCCCAAGAAGGAATCGAACCGGGCAGGGCTGCTTCATAAACGCCCAGGGCCGTTTAGTAAACGCCAAGTGTCCGGTCCGGGCGGTCTTTCCTCCCTCGAGGGAGGCCCGCGCTCGCCTCCGGGTCGACTTCTGCCAGGCGATGAACTCGTCGAAAGCCGCCCGCCCGCGCCGCGGCGCAGGCAATTCGGGCGCTGGCGCAGGCTCATCCGGCCGCCCTCCTCGCCCCTCGCTCCTCCCTCCGCCCTCCTCCTTTCGCCTCGTCCACTCCTCCTCCTTCTACTTCTCCTCCTCCTCCTCCTCGCTCCTCCTCCTCCTCCTCCTCCCTCCTCCCACCTCCCTCCTCCTCCTCCTCCTCCTGCTCCCCCTCCTCCTCCTCCTCCTCCTCCTCCCTTCCTCCTCCTGCTCCTCCTCCCTCCTCCTCCCTCCTTCTCCCTCCTCCTCCTCCTCTCCCTCCTCCTCCTCTTCCTCCCCATCCCTCCTCAGTGTTCTCCTCGTGTTCATCCCCAACCACTTCCCCCACCACAAACATGATATGACCGTGGTAGTCACGAACGGATGTCATGCCAATCCGAAACATTGGGAGGAGGAGCGAGGATTGGGTAGGAGGGATGGGAGCGGGGAGGGAGGGGCCGAAAGCGGGTCGCGGGGGGATGGGGAAAGAGAGCGGAAGGAGTGGAAGGGGAATCATTGCGCACATCGAGCTTGAGGGCCACGTCCGAAGTACGGCTATACTGGGAACCTGCACACATGGAAACAAGTCACATTCGATCATGCGTAATTCAAGGTTCACGTGTCAGGCGTCACGCAAGACCAGGAGGTGCCAAAGGCTGACATATCAATATGCCCAGTAGAACTGGAATCTGCCAGATCGAATATTGTCGCAATGCCGTCCTGTAGACGCTTGCTTGGAGTGAGGTCCAGTGGGATTCGTGCATCGATCGCGATCATGACGAAGCGGTGAAGACACTGCTCCCCAGCACTCGAGCAAACAAGCTGCACCCACCAGATGGAGATTGTTTGAACCTTACGGTACACTGCATGGGCTCGGGGCAGAAATGCATCTCTCAACTGCGTCTACGGATCCCCCCACCCACCCTGAAGGGGTCCTGGGACACACAAATAAATAGACACAAATCCCAGGATTCCCTATATTTTCAAATATTTTCTGGGTTTTCGTCTTCCCCCATATTTCCCCATATGATCCTGGGAGTCGACGATTATTAATGTCTGTGTTTTTCCCCTACGGACACCCACCCACGCCGGCCCCCTCATCGCACAATGTCCAACGGATCAACCCTGGACGCTTGCGGTAGCGTGACGCTGCATCCACGAGCTAAACACACACACACACACACATCCGACTGGCAGGTTCCATTGGCACTACAAGGGGTTCTGCGATCCAGCGTGATCCTTCTCCTCCCCCTCCCATGCACTCCTCCTCCTCCTCCTCCTCAATCCTCTTGCCACTTGGCAAACCGTGCGACAAGTGCACTCCGTGGCGGAGGCACCGGATGCCGTTGCAAGGCCATGCTCACGCCCTTGCCTTCAACCTACACGTGATACAACGTGGCAAGAGTCATCCGAGCGCGTCCTGCTTCAAATTTGTGAACGGCTGTCCCATTTCAGACAGGGCATGAGCGAAATCTTCCAGACTGATCTTCCCGTCTTTGTCGTTGTCCATGGACTGGAAGGCTACGTTGAAGTGATCTTTCCTCCCCTGCGGCCGCTGCATGATTGCCAGGAGTCTGGAGGATGGGCCTCATGTCCCCCTTCCTGAAACTTATAACCGCAACAACCAGTATCCACTGCCCTCCCCACTTGAGGAATGTCAAGCTGTATCAGTCACAGCAATTAGCTTTTGATTCTTGTCCTGCAGCGCATGGGCATCCGCCACCATGTTCCCAGGCCCGAGCCGGAGTGCCCTCAGGCCCCTTCGGGTCCCCTACGCTGGGTCCTGTCAATGCCTGCCAAGGGGCCCTGACCATCACAATCTGGAGCTCCAACGCGCTCTCGCGCGCTCCTGGGGCGCACCGCTTAAACTATGTCCGAGACTTGAAGAATGACGAACTCAAGAAAAACAAGCCTTCGGAGATCAGCGCGGAGGTCCTGGATCTGCGTCGGGCGCCCCCCCCCCCTGGCGCGCAAGGGGCCCCCGCGCCGATCCAAGAGACCCGCGCGGAGCCCCGACACCTTCTAAGTATACAACAAATCGAGAGACACGAGGGGCGCGCCTCGGAACCCGAAATCTTGGGGTGACCCAAAATAGGGGGCCAGCTGAAACGGGGTGGTGCAATACATTTGGGGCAACTGTATTGCAAATGTATTGCGCCGGAGACTTGTATTGCATCATGTTGCAATTTATGTGTTGCACGCGGAAGTACAGCAATACACTTGCGCCCCGAAATGTACTGCGCGCCCCAGATGTATTGCAACCCCAAAAAACTATGGCATCACACCTGGGCATCTTCTTAGGGTGGAGGGCTCAGGGTGAAATCCATATGGGCTCTTGCACCTCGAGAACCAATCCGTCTTGTGATTCACCTTTTGCAGATTCAAGCATCGAGCACCCATCGAAACGTCATTCCAGATTTCACCCTTTGCCCTCCACCCAGAGAAAATGCTCGGACATCTATTGCACCACCCCGTTGTCGCTGGACCCCCTTGTGGGTGAACCCGAAACCTCCAACATGGCGTCAGAGGGCCCCGCGGCGCCGCCCTGGGGGCTCCCCGTCTGCGAGCCTCCCCGTGGCGGCCTCGGTCGCCCTGGCGGCCGCGGCCCCGCGGCAAGCATCCCCGGAAGTAGCCTTCCGATGGACCCGGCCACTGTGCGGGTGGGCGGAGCGCAGGGCGTGGCCCTCTCTTCATCCCTGGCTGTACGTGGAGAACGAACAAAAAGGCTCTGTAAGCACAAACCTCCTGGCGCTCCGCGCGGGCTGCTGGATCTGCGCCGGACCCTTCTGCCTGGCGGACGGAGCGCGCCAGGGGCGGCGCCGGAGGCGGCGGCGGGGGGCCCAGCGCAGATCCAAGACATCCGCGCGGAGCGCCAACAAATCATGTTTTCTTCCTCGAGGGATAGAACTACTTGAACGGATCCGAACGCACGGGTAAAGCGCGCTCTCCCCCCCCACCAAGAGAAAAATGTCAGCCCCCCGGATCAGTGGACTGGGGGGGGGGCGGGCCTGAACGCCCCCGCCGAAGAAAAAATCGCACCAGAGGGGTTTCCAGAGAGGCCTCCCGAGAGGTCCCCACGGTGCGGGGGGCTGGTCTCAGAGACCCAAACGTGTATGCACACTTTTGTCGTCAGCGGCGAGGCGGCGAACTCCGCTCCAGCACGAAGCTAGATAGGGGCACTAGCTAGCGAATTGGCCGGCGAGCACAAAAAGGGGGGGGGGACGGCCGACACATGTATGCACACATTAGAGGGCTGAAAATCCACTCCCATAATAGCCACCCCGACACGCGAAGCCGTTTAGTAAACGCACCACAAGAAGGAATCAACCAGGGAAAGGCGGTTTGGTAAGCGCCCAGGGCCGTTTAATGAACGCCAATTGTCAGATGCGGGTGTTTTTTCCTCCCTTGATAGATGGTTCACAACGCTGCGGTGTGGTCCGAGAACACCTTCCTCTGACCATTCCTCGCCTTCCTACAGGGAGCGCAACGAAGTGGCGCAGTCTCTCGCCACAGCAGCCACCGAGGAGGCCTCGTACTTCTGCACCCACGGTGCTTCTGTCGTAGATCCCTATCCTGCACCCAAGCAAGATCACGCACAATTCGATGGTGGATCTCGGAGAGGCCTCGTCAGAGACTGCTGGATCACCTGGGGCAGCAGCGAATCCCAGTGGACAACTCTCGCGTGAATGTCCCGATGTTTCGGCGCCGCGTCCGGCACCTTCGCCGAGGTGGCCGCCGGCAGAGTGCACGCTCGCCGCCACGGCTCTGCTCTCCAGGCAGCGTCTCGACCTGCAAAGCGCCACCGTTGCAGACACGAGCCTCGCGAGCGTCCAGGCTCCACAGTCAATCCCATTCACTGTTAACATGTAGCGAGACCCATTCTCGCCAGAGATAGAAGCGGAGGAAAAACCTCCTCCTCATCCTCATGCTCCTCCTCCTCCTCCTCCTCCTCCTCATCATCATCATCACCATCATCACGCTCCTGCTCCTAATTACGCAAGCTCCCGCTCTCCTGCACACCCCCTTCCCCCGCCACGTGGTGTCGGCGAGCTCGTCCATGTCGGCGTCGCCAGTGGCGTACATCTTGCCGATGTCCTCCGCTTTGAGCGATTCCTCGGCGCGGGAACGGCCACACCAGCCCCAGAACGAGAACGAGGGCAATGGGGAAACCAAAAAGTATCGATGCCGCTACTGCGCGGATCTATGCAAGGGTGCGGCGACCACGTGGCCAAGGGCAGCGGTTTTGGCACTTCTCCTCCTTTGATCGATGGACAAAAAACAAGCATAAACAGAAACGTTTGGCGTTCCGCGCGGATTTCTCGGATCTTAGCTGGACCCCCCCTCCCCGGCGCGCGGAGCGCGCCAGGGGCGGCGCCGGGGGCGCCGGCAGGGCGCTCCAGCGCAGACCTAAGAGATCCGCGCGGGGCGCGCCAAACGTTTATGTTACAGTGGAGGCCCGTCCACAAGAAACCTTCCACAAGAACCCCAACCCTGAGACCCCATCGGGAGCGGCCAAGAGGGGGGTGTCCAAGAAGGGGGGGTGCAAATCATGACCGGCGGCATGTGCGCGGCCCAGCGGGGGGGCCAGGACCGTATTGAAATAAGAAGAGGCGCCATGAAATCTGGGGAAATATTATGGCCCCCGCCATGATATCCACCCCCCCATGGTCATCACCCCCCTCTTTTCCGCCCCCGATGAGACCCCAGGGAGCCCGTTGATTGTTTGGGTCCGGGAACCTCGCGCCCTGCATCGCAAAACCATCGAGGCCCACGAAACCCAGGGCACCCTGGAGGCAAGCAGGGTGCTTCTTGGCAGGGGCCGCCACAGGAAGGCACATGGGCGGAGGAGGAAGGGCAGGCCCGGAACAATGGCGAGGAGGCGGATCAGGATGACGACGACGACGGCGAATCTATGAAGGGGCCTTGGGACATACAAACAAATACACACACACACACAAATAACAGGATTCCCCAGACTTTCCCATATCTTCCGGGTTTTTGCTTCCCCCCCACTTCCCATATTTTCCCATATGTTCTGGGGAATCGACGATTAATTGTGTCTACGTGTTTTTTTCCCTCTGGGGAATCGACGATTAGTTGTGGATCCTGGTGTATACGGGATCCTGGTGTATACATTTTTCGCTGTCGTCCCCGAAAATCGTGGAAAAAAGTATTCACCACACCGCCCCGACGTCGTCCCCGACCCTCAACAAACGTCCTGGGATTGAAGAACCGCCCGCCACTGGTACTGTTTCTGCTCCAGTTTCCGAGGAAGGGCAGGCCCACAACCATGGCGAGGAGGCGGGTCAGGACGACGACGACGGCGAACCTAAAGAGTCGACGGCGAGGGCCAGCAAGAATCGGGTCGGGCGAAAGGGGGGATAGCAAAGGGGGGGTTTGAGAATCAGCTCACGTAGCTGATTTTCCCCGCGCCTCCCGGCGCCAGAGGCGGCCATGTATCGAGGAATGGGCCCCTCGGTGAGGCCGAAACCAGCTGCACGCAGCAAATTTCGTACCCCCCCCTTTCCCAATCCCCCCCTTTCGTCCGGCCCGAAAGAAGGGCGAAGAGGCGAGCCGAGGCCAGGCGCCGCGGGGTGCCACGCCGGGGCCGCGACCGGGCTCCGCCCCCGCGCCGGCCCGTGCGCGGGAGGCCCGCGGCCGCGCGGGCACGCGGTGGGGCCTGCCTGCGGCGGGGGCCCCTCCTCGCGCCCCGAGCCCACGCGGGGACCTCCGCGCGCCCCAGAGGGGTGCGCGCGCCTCGAAAGCCGAGGGGCGCGGCCTACAGTCGGGGCGTTGACCTAAGGAACCCAAAATAAGGAACGAGGCCCCTGTTTTCCATGGGTTAAACTTCGTTTTTCCCGTCGAAAACACCAGGAAAACACTGAGGCAAGCTGCGAAACACTTGAGGAACGCGGAGCCCCTCCCCAACGAAAAGGGTTCCTTCTTCAGGGCCCCGACTGTATGTCCCCATCCAGGGCCCCATCGGCCATGGGGGCCCCAGGCCGCGTTCCTGGGGACAGGGGTCGGCCAAGCGTCGCGCGCGTCAGAGGGGCAGAGCGGCGGCACGGGTCGAGACAACTCTTGCCCACGGGAGTCCCTGCTCGCGCCCCGGGCCTCGGGCCGGGCGAAAGGGGGGGATCGCAAAGGGGGGGGGTGAGAATCAGCTCACGTATGGCTGACTTCCCCGGCGCCGCCCGGCGCGGGGCGGCGCCCGCGTGTCGAGGGATGGGCCCGGCGGCGGGGCCGAAACCAGCTGCATGCAGCAGATTTCGTAACCCCCCTTTCCATATCCCCCCCTTGCGTTCGGCCCGAGAGCCCACCGGGGGGCCAGAGCGGCGGCACGGGTCGAAACAAATCTGGCCGCTGGAGCCACGACTTTTTTCATCCCGGCCGGCAGCAGCACGGGTATGGATCGATCGCCGATCGCCGACTCCAGGCCCGAAGGTTAGGTCGGGCGCGTCCTCCTGCAGGCGGAGTTTGGACGAAAGACAAATAGTTAAAACATGTTCAAGCATAGTTATGCAACAAGCCTCAAAAATCGTCCCCGTATTATTGTTGGACAATTTTTGAATATTCCTCCTACAGAGAGACACGCCCAACTTAACCCGAAGTCACGGAGAAATGTCCGAAGCCACGGATCGCCAGTCGCTCAGCATCAGCACTGCCGCGGCAGACCCGTCGCTCCTCAACGGCGGACGGACAGATATTTGGCGGCGCGCACAAGGGGGTGGAGGGAGGGGGGAGGGCTTCTGAGAAGGAGGCTGCTTCTTAGAAGGCGCCGGCCTCACAGCTATCGATACGGCCCGCGCCTCCTAAGAAGCAGGAGTGCTTCTAGGAAGCCCTCCCACCTCCCCCCTCTGCGCGTGGCGGAGGTGTGAAGAACAGGCTTGGATAACACTGGCAGCGGCGGCGCCGCCCGCGGCGCCGGCGGGGTGCCCAGCTCAGGGGGGGGAAGCATCTGAAGGGGCCCTGGGACACACAAAGAAATACACACGAATCAAAAGATTCCCCATGTTTTCCTATATTTTCTGGGTTTTTGTCTCCCCCCCCACTTCCCATATTTTCCTCTATTTCCTGGGGGATCGTCGACTAATTGTGTCTGTGTGTTTTTGTTCCCTCCTGAGCATCGGGCGCTCGAGTCGGCGATGCCTCGCCGACAACTCGGCGAGAGGCCCCCCGCAGCGAAGCCGCACGGCTCTGGGCGGGGTGGGGGGCTCCATATCGGGGCACGGTGCTTGCGCCATTGGGAATGATGCTTCCCCCCCTGAGCTTAGGGCGAGGCATGTCCCCCTACAGCCGGGCTTTGGGCGAAGCGTAAAAGAATAGGTTACAGGTGCGCAGGAATAGCAGAAACCATGCTCAAGACATCGTCCCCAGGCTATTGTTTGAAACCATCTTTGAACATTCCTCCTGTAGGGGGACATATGCCCGACGTAACCCTGAGCCTGCACCCCTCGCAATCAACGTTGCCCGACCTTCCACTCCGCGGCCCTCGGGCCCTGGCGCGGGCCTCGGGAGGCCGCTCGGGACGCTCTGGGCACCCCCGGGAGGCCCTGCGGCGAGGCGCAGCCGCTGAGACGCATCCCGAGGCTTAGGTCGGGCCTGTCCCCCTACAGGGAGATGTCGGACGAAAAATTAAAAATATACCAAAGATGCTCACAAGATGCCCAAAAACAGTCAAAAATCGTCCCCTGACTATTTTTGGGGACTATTCCTGAATAACCCGACTTCACCCGAGGCTGGAGCACCGCCGAGCCAGAAAGCCTCGACAACCTCGAAGCTGGAGCCAACCCCCCGGAGTCTACGCCCCCCCTCTTCTCTGAGCTGCGCGCAGAGGGGGGCAGAGGGAGGGGGGGAGGCTTCGTAGAAGCTGTGCCTGAGAAGGCGCCCGCCCCACAGCTGCAGACAAGGCCCCGTGGCTTCTGAGAAGCAGCCTCCTTCTGAGAAGCCTTCCCCCTCCCCCTAACCCCCCCTGTGAGCGCCGCCGATTGAGCGACGACTTACGCAAAATGACATGGCCAACTTACGCAGTGGGCGGGCCGCCAGCGCGGCACGCTGCGTTGGAGACGAGGGCGTTTACGCGCGAGCCTACGCGGGAAACTTACGCGACAATGTCGATAAAGACGACCCCCGACTGCGCCGCCAATTAAGACGAGGCCAGGATGAGGACAACATCGGGCGAGGACAAGTCGAGAAAATCTGAGATCCGCCGGTCCTGGAGGATGTCTCGGGCGCCGCGGCCTTCTCAGAGCAGTCCAGGATGCTCCGAGAGCGTTGCGGGACGCTCTGGAACGGACCTATCCTCGTCCTAGCCCGGTCTAGAGAGTTGACGCCGCAGAGCGGGGTCCAAGCAGATGGGGTCGGAGGATCGCGCCGCAGCGCCGATACTGCGCTGTTGCGTCGGCGACGCATCGGCGATGCGGCGCGATCCTCCGACCCCATCTGCTCGGAATCAATGTAGAAGGTCTAGAGAGAGAGGCTCGTCCCTTGGAAGGCCATGTCGACACTCTGCGAGCAGGGGCGCTGACAGCGAAAGCCGCCAAGGATGGGCCGAAGGGGAAGGATTAGAAGAAGAAAAAACACCATAAACCTAAACTTTGACGCTCCGCGCGGATTTCTTGGATCTGCGCTGGACCTCCCTCTTTGGCGCGTGGAGCGCGCCAGGGCAGCGCCGGAGGCGCTGGCTCGGGGGGCCCAGCGCGGATGCAAGAAACCCGCGCGGAGCGCCAAGAGTTGACGTTGTGCTCGCCGCCAATTGAGCGACGAGCGAGCGACGAGCCTGTCGAGGGACAGGCCCCCTGTCGAGGGACAGGCCCGACTTCCCCCGTAACCCCAGGCCCCGGGCCCTCGGCCGCTCCTTGACGGCGCCCAGGCGCACCAGCGGCTCTCGGGCGCCCTGCCCCACCCGGCGCGCTGCCCCGCGGGGAAGCCCCCCCCCCCCCCCGCCCCCCTCCCCCCCGGTGGGCGCCCGCCGCGCCAGTCAAGGGCGCCTCGAGGCTGGAGCGCGCTGGCCCTCCTCCTCCCTCCTTATCCTCCTCCTCCTCCTCCTCCCTCCTCCCTCTCCTCTTCCTCCTCCTTCCTCCTCCTCCTCACTCCTCCTGCTGCTGCTGCTCCTGCTCGCTGCCCTTGCCCCCCTCCTACTCCTCCTCCTCCTCCTCTCCTCCTCTTCCTCCTGCCTCCAACCTCCTCCTCCTCCCTCCTCCCTGGCTCTGCCCTTCTCGTCCTCCTCCTCCTCCTGCTCCTCCTCCTCCTGCTGCTCTGCTGCTCCTGCGTCCTGCTCCTCTCCCTCCTCCTACTCACTCTCTCTTTCCTCCCCTCCTCCTCTTCCTCCTGCTCCACCACCACCTCCTCTCCTCCTCTGCTCCTGCTCCTGCTCCTGCTCCTGCTCCTCCTTCGCGCTCCTCTCTCCTCCTCTCCTCCTCCTCCTCCTCCTCCTCCTCCTCCTCTTCCTCCTGCTCCTCCTCCTCCTCCTCCTCCTGCTCCTGCTCCTGCTCCTGCTCCTGCTCCTGCTCCTGCTCCTGCTCCTCCTCCTGTCCCTCCGGCTCCTGCTCCTCCTCCTGCTCGTTCTTCTCCTTCTCCTCCTTCTCCTCCTGCTCCTCCTGCTCCTCCTCCTCCTGTCCCTCCTGCTCCTGCTCCTCCTCCTGCTCCTTCTTCTCCTTCTCCTCCTTCTCCTCCTGCTCCTGCTGCTCCTCCTCTTCCTGCTCCTCCTCCTGCTCCTCCTCCTGCTCCTCCTCCTCCTCTGTCCTCCGTCCTCCGTCCTCCGTCCTCCGTCCTCCTCCTCCTCCTCCTCCTCCTCCTCCTCCTCCCCCTTAATACCCCCTAGACCTCCGACAGACCTCTGAGGTGCCTCAAGGCCCTTAAGGCAGCCTCGAGACGGCCCCCGGCGACGGCGGCGGCGCCGGAGACGAGGGCAGCGGCGGCGGCAACCAAGGGCGAGGGAGCGAGGGCGCGATAGGGCGACCGACTGCGACGACGGCCTGGGCGAGGGCGAGGGCGACTGCGGCGGCAGCGGCGGCGGCGGCGGGCGACCGCCGGCCGGAGCGCGGATCGGCGCGGGGAGGCCAGCCGCCGTCGCCCGAGAGGGTCGGGTCGGACGAAGGGGCGGGGGGGATCTGACCATCGCTCGGACGTCCATTCCCTGTGTTTTTGTTCGGTTTCGTGCGTGGTTTTTTCGCCAAATGATCAAGGACGCCCCTCGATGGTCATCGCAGAAGGAAAAATGCACACGTCCGAGCGATGCCAAGGGATGGGTCGGCGGCGAGCCCCGGGGGGGGGGGGAAGCGAGAGGGGGCGGGTTCGAGGCTGGAGCTCGTCGCACGGCCGCCGGAGGCCCGAGCTCTGACCCGAAGGCCAACCCAAAGGAGCTCCGAGCAGCCGCACCATCGATGCGTCACCGATGCCTCGGCGACGTCGGCGATGCTCCACATCGAGCAGCAGTCCGCCGACGCGTTTGCGGGGCGGCGCGATCGTCCGACCACATCCTCGCGCTCGTTCCCGCCGCCGCCGCCGCCGCCGGGGGCGTTGGCGCCGCCGCCGCCGCCGGGCGCGCGCTGCGGCGGGGGGCGAAACAATTGCGCCGCCCCCCCCCGGGGGGCCCCGCGGCTCGGCCGGGGGTGCCGGCTCTGCTGAAGGGGTTCTGGGACACACAAATCAACGCATACAAATAACAGGGGCCCCCCATATTTTCCTATATTTTCTTGGCTTTTGTCTTCCCCCCCGCTTCCCATATGTTCGCATATTTCCTGTTTGTTGTTTCCCCTCCTGATTTTCCCGATGAATTGTGTCTGTGTTTTTTCCTCTCCGTATCTGCTGGATCCGCCAGGGATCTCGGCGCAGGCGCGAACTTCCTATACCAGGGCGGAGGCGCGGGCGCCGGTGCGGAGGGCTCTGGAGCGCCGGGCACCGCCAAAGGGGGGGGGGACCCTGAGGGGGGGCCCGAGTTCGAGCCGTTGGTGCACCGAACTACCGCAGGCAGATGCTCCCCGCACAT